ATTCAGTAATAATCCGATTTTGACAGCGCCTCCACACTTTTTCCTTTAAATAATTTCACTTAACCGTAATTCCAAACCATCTTCTAGGTGGATGTTAAAAGTATACTTTCGTGCAATAAGACCACTTAAAAAATGACATGGGTTTCGAAGAATACTAGAAAAAAAAAATTCAAAAAGGGTGCTGTCAAAATTGGGCCATTACTGTAATGCACATGATCCGGGAATATCTGAGAAATATCATTTAGATTTTTTGAAGAGTCTAAGATCTTCAGAATAATACTTGATCATTCTGAAGTCTTGAGTAATAATGCAGAAAACTGAACTGGAATCTTCGATCAGCTGGAGGTCTTTTGAATTCTCCTTGATCAACCTGATGTCTTGCATGAATATCTAAAAATTTGGTATTTTGTAATCGTAAAATTGAACATATTTGTAGTTCTGTGGCGAATGTTACAGCTCAATTGATCTTAAGAGAACAAAGTTACAACTTGTCAAAGTTGACCGTTTTGTATGGAAATCGGCATGCGCTGCTATTATATTGAATACAGGTGTATATGCCTTAATTTCTTAGAAGATTCCTGTGCTTCCACAAAGTTTCTTGAACAAAAATGCAATTACGGGAATTCAAACGAAGCTCCCTTAACTTCTTTCCAATCCATTGAGCTTACAGGAAATCTTCAACGCCTCTATAAAGTTTTTCTATAACTGCTGAAAAATGTTGTCAAATTCCAAGAAGTTCCCTGAACTTCCAAGATTTTTTATAGCTCAGATAAACTTTCCTCAACGCCTAGGAAGTTACTGTACATTTCTACTAAAACATCTATAAACTTCTGCGTACTCCTAGGTACATTCTAAATATTTTCTTCGATTTGTTCTGAACATCTGAGCAGTTCCCTGGAATTAAACGAAGTTCTCAAAACTTCCAGATAGTTCAGTAACCTTTTCTAAAGTAAGTTTGCTGATAAACTGCTACAAAGTTCTCTAAACTGATAGTAAAATGATATTCCCTGAGCTTCTGAGGAATTCCCTTAACATCAATGAAATTTGCTGAGCGTCTACACTGTTTACCGAACTTCTAATAATTTACCTGTATTTTAACAAAATTACCTGCAGTTCTGTGAAATTTTATGAATTATCTGAATGAACCACTTTTCTGTCAAACGTGAACCAGCTCGTGATTGGCTGATTTGATGTGCGTAAGATAGAGATGGACATATATAAAGATATAGATAAAGATAGAAACTAAAGAGTAAGAAGCCAAATGTTACATCTTCCTCTTAGGGACAACCCTGTGACAGTGGGTGGTGACAATTGGCTTCTTACTCTTTAATTTCTATCTCTATCTCTATCTTTATCTATGTCTATCTCTATCTTACGCACATCAAATCAGCCAATCACGAGCTGGTTCACGTTTGATAGAAAAGTGGTTCATTTTTGCCCCCGTATTGTCACCTCTTCTCTTAGGGAAAATCAAAACAAAGCCTCTCGTTCAGAGACATTCTCGGCTCTATTTCTCTCTCATTCTCCCTTGCTTCCGCGTTATCGAGAGACGGACCTGGACAGCTTGCCCACGGTTCAGCGAGGCAGTTTTGAAAACGATCTTGAAGTGTGAAATTTTGTGCTAACAAAATGCTGCGCAGGAATTACGGTCCATTTCCAAATGGCGGAAATCTCGGAAATCACGACACTAATGTTTTACGAAGTTCCATAAAGATCTACGAGGTTCCTTGAGGTTCTACGTTCCTTGACGTTAACAATGTTTCCCGAAATTTATCGAAGTTCTCTGAAATCAAATGATGTTCTCTTAAGCAGTCTTGTAAGCGGTCACGGTAGTCGACACATTTTCTGTGATAATCAACTGCCTTTGTCTCCGACACTTGCAAAACAAGCTATCCTAGTACAGTACCAAATTAAAATGTCATATGACAGGCTCTGTCATACGACACTGTCGCCGAAGACCGTCGCGAATCTACGAATTTAAGTTTTTCTCACAATAAGAGCTGCTGATGTTGTGTTTGTTTTAATTCTGAAAATAGCAAGCAATGATGTCCTACACAGTTCGAAAAAGTAGTGTAAATTTCTGTTCAATATGATGCACATAAATGGAGCGTCACATATCATACAAGTTTACATTAAAAAACATGTAAAGTTCTGAGACATTTCATGCAATGTGTCAAATATTGTATACAAAAGCCCATCTTTGTAAACAACATTGTTTACAAGTTGCTCGGTTGTATGAAATGAAATACAAGTTTACGTGAATGAATGTTTACATCACAATTAAAATTCAGAATTTTTATCTGTGTAGTAATAACAATTCTGATCAGAAATGGTTTAATTTACACCAAATTGAGGAATTAGAACAAAATCACACATGTCATATGATAGTTATTTGAAAATTTTCTTTTTGCTCGAATGTTATTCTACCGTTTGTGTTGTGTGAGAGAGATGATGGTAGAGCATGAGTGTACGAATACAAACGGACTGTCGCGCACGACAACGAAGCGAGTGTAGTAAAAAACGTCAACCGTTTCAACCCCTGCTCTTAAGTTCTACAAGTTGCCCTACGGCTGTAAAGTCGCAGCTTTATAAATCTGAAATATTTAACAACTTCCCCCACTCTTTAGAATAGTAGCGGTGGAGATCTCGGACGCCTAGAGACGCCTCCTTTGGACTTGGTCCTTGTTAATATTGTGGTGTTAGCCTCCCCATTGCTGCTGCTGCTGCCATTCGTATCAAGTTTTATCTGCGGATCTGGATTTTCTGTTACATCGCTGAGCTCCTGCACTTTTTGCGATTTATGAGTAACCTGAACTCAAATTTGGGTTGATTTCGTTGGCCGTGTATCCTAAAAATAATTTTTCTACCTTACCTACAAGGGAGCAAAGGGTTCACAGCAAAAAATAAATTTTAATATTACATCCAAGAGGATGCACTTCAATCATGTCGAAAATCCTATGTAATTTTTATGTTCACTCAAATAAACAAATGCAGTAAAAGCAACGTAATGTCAGCACATGCACTGTATTAATGATAAATTTGCCCTTTTTGGCAAGTATTACACCAAATTTTCGACACGATTGAAGTGCATCCACTTTGATGTGATATTAAAATTAATTTTTTGCTTTGTTGTTCTTCGTGAGTAACCGGTTCCAAATTTACCGTGACATCACTGGTCTAGACTGCATTGACCACAGTCATTAAATGAGTACCTAGCAAAACTTATCTCAAAATTCACCACACATACGCTGCATCCTTCCTTCAATTAATTGCAAAACTCTAGTGGCATGGCAGCAACAATAACTAACCCCCCCTTAGAGTGAGTCATTTTCTTTAACAGCACCAGCAACAGCAGAAGCACATCATTCCCGTCCTTATCCTACTCGTGTTCGGTGTAAAGTACATATGCGGTTTTAAAGCTTTAATCCAAGCACATCCTTTCCTTTTTGCTGCTCTAATTGAAACTTCCCCCCAAGTGTCTAATATTTAGTATAGGAGTCGGTATGTCACCCAATGTCATTGGCGAGGGAACCACTTGGAGCCACTGCACTATGGGCAAAAATGGGTCCAACATTACCCAAAATTCAATATCTCAACAGCACGCTGAATTCCGGCCATGAAAAACAACTTTTCCGAAGGGAAATCGTTCGGGGAATCGATTGCACGTAGTCCCATAGACCGGAGAGCCTTGTAGGTATGTGTTTTTGGCCCTTTTACCCCATTTTCCCATACTTTTTGGAGGAAATGTTTTTTCACAGCACTATTTTTCGTAAAACATAAGCACTTTATGCATGGTTTTAGAATACTATGTCTTTAAACAACAGTTCATGAGATATTAGGGGAATACGGGGTACACTGAAAAAACATTTCCTCCAAAAAGTAGGGTAAAATGGTCCAAAACACATACCTACAAGGCTCTCCGGTCTATAGGACCACGTGCAATCGATTCCCCGGACGATTTCCCTTCGGAAAAGTCGTTTTTCATGGTCGAAATTCAGCGTGCTGTTAAGATATTGAATTTTGGGTAATTTTGGACCCATTTTTGCCCATAGTGACTGCGTTGGTGTTGGATAGTAAAGAGTGTTTGTTTGGTTTTACTTCTCATTCACTGAATTGTAAGCCACCCACTCGAGACGAAATGAGGATTTATAGAAGATGAACAGTTTGTGGCTCTGCAGGACTAAACATTTGAAACTAAAGCTGGGTTTAGACAGGGCAAGTCAATTGATCAAGTCAGTTGAATTCAACTGACTTGAACGCGAATTGAACGTGTAATTCAACTGACTTGATCAACTCACTTTAATGCTAGGTTTAGACTAGGCAAGTCAAATGATCAACTCAGTTGAATTCAATTGACTTGAAAAGTTGAGCCTGGTTCAACTTTTTTCAATTCAAGTGAGTTGATCAAGTCAGTTGAATGACATGGTTTACACGTTCAATTCGCGTTCAAGTCAGTTGAATTCAACTGACTTGATCAATTGACTTGCCCTATCTAAACCCAGCTTAATTGAAAAAAAGTTGAACCAGGCTCAACTTTTCAAGCCAATTGAATTCAACTAAGTTGATCATTTGACTTGCCTAGTCTAAACCCAGCCTAACAGTGGTTTTGCGCTGATGATTACAGTGGCCAATTCCACTAGCAGCGAGCAAGCTTGGGAAACCCAAGAAAACGAATATCACTTTCATATAGGGTTAGTTGGGATAGAAGTTTTGGTCGGACAACTCCATTGACTGGAGACGCATGGTGAATGGTTTATACCTGAAATGCCAAGTACTTTTTTGCAATTACCTATACTGCCGGTGGACGCATAATTGTCCCATGTTCTATGGAGTTTCATATACACATGGGACAATTATGCTTCCAGCGGCAGTATAGTTGTAAGTTGAAAAGCATTTGAAACTCACAAAGTCAGTTTTTCTTTGAAATTGAATCACAAGGATTTCCGCTACAAACTCAGAATGTCGTCATGCATGCAGCACAAGGTGTAACTATTACTCACCTAGGAATTTGTTGTAGGTGTTGGGCGTGAACAGTTCTTCGACCCGGTAGAAGTAGAACCGGAACGGTAGGAAGATCTTCACATCCGGTCGGTCGGTGAGGACGGCTTTGTCGAGCTTTTTGGCACTTCGCAGATTGCTCACACAGATTGCGTCCGGTCGAGGCATGTTGCAGACGGCATCCAGCGGGTTCAGGACCTTTGGACCGGGACCGATGTGGGTGGGTGGTTTTTTTTACGAAGGGCAGCGTCAAACGTGAATTCGTCGGTTCGTTGTACCATCGGAATACGGAAAATGAGATGAAAAAAAGTCAAACAACAAACGGGTGGATTAGCTGAGGTAGGATGTTTTTATCTTTTCACGCTTCAGCTGTTGCTCGAGGCGTCCTGGAATGTAAGCTTAGGATATGGTAAAATTGGATTTTCTTGCTGCTGCTCTGCAGAGGGACCTTTTTTTTTGGTTATTTTGATCGTTCTGCTGCCATCGTTTTCTGGAAAGATGATTATATATTATATTGCCTAACACATTGTCTGGATAATATTTGAGTGGTTCCGTAATTTCCAAGTGGTTGCGGTTGGATATCAAAACGAAATCAGCCGAAATGCTTTGATGTGGAGACAGATCCATGTCTCAGGGGACAGCCCCGGCGTAGTGGTTAATATCCATACTTCTCGCGCCAAAGTCACGAGTTCAAATCTCATCCCGGAAAAATCACGAACTACCCAAAAGTGTTTAAGTGACTCCAATAACTCTAATGAAACAGCGTTGAATTTGTTATTAGTAGAGTGGAAAGATAACTGGTAGCGTAATGATACGATTGTTGCAGTTTTTTGGATCTAAAACGCGCTTTTGAAACAATTTCTAGGCCCTTATTGTTACGAACAATCAAGCGCTTTGGAGTAAATGGTTTGAAAGCAATTTGTGTGACAGGACACAACGGACTGTTTTTAATGATTCTGTTTCCAGTCCTTTGGGGAATAACCCCAGGGAAGCGTATTAGGGCCCCTTTTATTTATTATGTATATTAATTACTTGCGATTTTGCAACATCAACCTTTTTGCAGATGATACTGTGCTATTCATTGCAGCTAAGGATTTAGATGATACTGTTTTACGGTTGAATGAAGCTTTGCTTTCTCTAAGCAGATGGTTGAATTACAAGCAATTGAGATTGAATATAAGTAAAACTAAATTCATTGTAATTTCGCGGAATCGAGTAAATGAGAACGTTTCCGTTGTAAATGATGATGAGGCTATTGATCGTGTTCGGGATAAATATCGTGGCGTGATTATTGATGACAAACTTAAGTTCAACTCTCACATTGAAATTGTCTTCAAGAAAGTTGCCAATTAATTTTTGGCGAATGCAACACAAATATTGATATTACAGTGCTTGCATAGTAAAATAATGCGTTTGATTTTGAGATGTAATACATTCACTTAATCAACTTTGATGCTAGATGCTTCAAAATGGTTGTCGGTGAATCAAAAAATTGTATATTTGACTATGGTATTCATTTTTAAAGTAGCTAACGGTTTGCCGCCTTGATATTTGTGTAATCGACTTTAAAGAGGAAGTGACTTTCATAGATATAATACTAGAGGATGAAGTTGGTCTGTTCTTCGCAAAATTCATTGTATTTTTTAGACACATTAAACGTGCAACTACATTTACAGAATTTAAGAGACATGGCATTGCACACGTTAAAGGTGTCTTTTGGACAGTTATCTGAAGAATTTATGTTTATGAATTCATGAATTATATATCTTGACGAAGTTTGTAACGGATTATTTTGTAATAATTACTGTAGCACTGCAAACATTATTTTGTTCGCCACGATAGTGATGATGGATTTTTAATATTTGATTTATTAATAGTAGTTATAAAGAAAGTAATTTTAAGCAGTCTACAAAGGTTTGAGCCTCGCGTGCGTAATAAGGATATAGAGGACTGAATTTAACATTTGATGAAGAAAATGGAACATTGAAGCTTATTTGGAAGATGCCAATTTACGATAGCATAAGATTTCTGGGAATGCTTGTGAATAATTGAGGTGGACAGATTCATACTTAACGCAATGGACAATGGCTAGTTCGTAGATGCTCTTTATACTCTTTTCAGTAAAACATTTGACCGAATCGACATACCATCATTACTCTTTAAATTGCAAAAAATAGGAATGGAGTTTAGACTTTTGAATTGGATGTTGGCTTATTTGTTGACCGGTTGATGATCCAGTTGTTGGAAGGAGATTCTCATTTATCCCGTGGGCGATGTTGCCCACGGATTCATCCACACCGTTTTTGGTCCAATGGCAGGTTGAGGCAGTTAGAGGTTATTAAACTTGATCAAGTCAAACAGCGAGGATAGTTCACAGTCTACCGACAGTTGTTTAGCTGCAGTGAGTGGTAGTTCCATATCATCATCATCAAATAGTGAAGTTATTATTTTGCTCTAAATCTTGATTGAAACATCGAGATGAAAGTTTATGGGTATAATAACCGATATATTTTCAAAATTTAAGAACCCAAATGCAAGAAAAATCATTTAGTTTTGATCTGGGTACTGAAGACTCACTGAACATTCTTGTCAACTGGGAGCTAATGTGAACTGTCAATCGGGAGCCAAACGTTCAGAATCCCCAAATGCAGTTTCTATTCTTATCTATCATGTATTATCTGGAATTATATAAATGAACAATACTTTTCCAGGGTGTTCACTACCCTAAAAAACCTTGAAATACCTGGAAAACTAGTAATCCTCAGGGAATTTTATTTTCCTGGAAAAAAAACTGGAATTCTCATTGTCGGACATTGAATGTTTTCTATGAACGCATATATAGAAATAAGAACCTTGCCTTTAGCTTAAGAAATTTAATTCATTAATTTGATGCCAATTTCCGAGGAACTTTAGGTATAACTTCATGGGATTTCAGAAGAGAATTCCAAGGTTAAAATTGATCGGAAAACTTGAAGTAAAATTTGAGGAGTTAGTTCTGTTGAACTCCAGAGAATTCCAAGGCAGTTCTGAGTATAATCCCAAGAGAATCCTGAATACGCTTCAAAGCTAATTTCCAACAGAATTCTGAGATGGATTCCAAGGTAATTCCAAAGGGAATTCCAAGAGAGTTCTGACTAAGGGATTTGTACGGAGAACTTCAAAGAACTTGTGATTAAAATTCCAAGACGATCCAAATGGAGTTGTGAAAAGAATTCAGTGAATATTTTGAGGATGATTCCAAAGGAATTCTAAGAAGTATTTCATAGGGAATCTAAGAAAAGTTTCAAGGAAATTTGCAACAATGTCTTAGGGCAACTTTCAAAGGAATACTTAGGAGAGCTGCTTGCTGTAATAATTTTAAGAGAAATCAAAGAATACATCCTAGTGATCTCTGAGGAACAAGGAACTTACGCAACAAGTCTTAGAGAATTCGGAGTGGAATTCAGAGGGAATTCGTGTGGTTAGTGAAAAATATCATTGAAGATACTTTGTGAATACTTAGGAGAGTTTATTTCAGGAGAATTCTTTGGAAATTCATAGGTTATACAGCGAACAGAAAATAAGATTTTTAAAAGAACTATAGACTGCCTTCTGGAGATAATTTCTTGAGTATTATGGAGCGAATTGTAAGGAAATGTCAGAGAGAGAGAGAGAGAGTTCTAAGACGAAGTCTGAGGAAATTTTGAGATGATTCCATGGTAGTTCTTAAGAATGTCATATGAAGAACTCCAAGAGTATCAAGATGATTTAAACAATTTTGAGATCACAGAAGAAATATCAAGGTAATCCAAAATTCACAATTCTGAGACTTTTTTATTTGATATCTCATGTTCTGAAAAGTTCTCTTCATTCAGGATTTAGAAAAATCAAATTATCATGGTTAGGGGAGTTTTTTTTTCACAATAAATTTATGTAAAAATGCCAAGTTAACTTCTTCATTATGCATTTAAGATTCCAGTGTGCTTTGTTTTCACCAAATTTGGCATAATAAATGAGTTCGTGAATACGCGTTTATTTTCAACGTTTGAGTTTTCAACCCAACCCTGTCAAATTCGGAAGCATAAAAAATCCATTTCTACAAAATTCTTATTTTGAATATTATTGATTGTGGATGTAGCTATGATTTTCAATTGATCTGACTGTGAAAAGCAACAAAACACGCTCCACAATGTTATGTATAAGAGTATAATTTTTCGAAACTGTTTTGAATAACATAATAACCTACTTTTCCATAACTAAAATAACAGTGTTGAAAAGTACTACTATTTGTGTTTCATATTCAAATCATCCCGACCAAGATGAACAAGAAAATTACAACACAGGCGATAATGAACGAATGAACCAAAACTAATGTTGACTACGAAACTCAGGGGTTGCCTTGATCAAGAGAATGTGGTTATGTCCAAATTTAAATTCATGCACAAAGTTGGGTTAATTTTAAAGGTTGCTATGATTTTCAGCTTATTTGGGTGCAGAAGAAATGATTTTTATCAGTACTGCTTACTCCATATGGAATTGCATCGCATCTACGCCAACTTTAGATCTCTTTCCCCTACACGCTATAGAATAACAAAATTATCTTGGCTTACGGTACCCAAGCCCTTTTGATAAAATGAATGCTCATGGAAATTAATTACACTATTATTTTTACCGTGTAAGAGCGATAAAACCGAGCCTTTACACCAGTGTAAATGTTTTGCCTGAAACCATATCAAATAATATATGTTGTGTCTAGCCAGGCTCCTCTAGCACAACTTCGTATGAAGTTGCAGGGTAAAGGGAAATAATCTTTACGGTAGTCTGTACAGCAGAGATGCTCGTTCGAGATAACATTTTCATAGATACGATTGAGAAACAATCCATTTACATACCGCGATAAATATTTTTTAAACAAATAAACATACCATAAAGTATTATGCATATAAAGCGAGCATAGTAGTTCTTGACAACATAGTTAGTCGTATTTCGTTCACAGAGTGAGCCATCATTCACTACTTACAACCACGCGAGTGCACCTCAAGTGAAAACAAGCTTTATTGCAATGTCATTCGAGTACACCGAAGCAGAGAATCCCATTTACCAGGCCACGTATTTGGGATTTCACCAGCAGAATTGTATACTGGTCAAACCAAAGGATTGCAGTAAGGTTCCCATCACGCTTTCCTACTGGGAACCCGAACCATCCTACTTGAATTGGAGGTTTATTGGAGATGGGTAATCCTTGCATCGGGTTTGAGTTGTACTGACATTAAACGTTACATTGCAGGTATCAAAGAATGGGTGAACAAATTAAAGAGCTGGAAGTCAAACCGGATGACATTTGGCTGATGTCGTATCCGAAGAGTGGTACCACTTGGTGCCAGGAGATGATTTGGCTTGTATGCAATGATCTCGATTACGAGAAAGGCAAATCGGTCAATCTGGGCGATCGGTGGGCTTACTTGGAGTAAGTTTAAATAAACAATCAGTTAAGAGTAAACGCTGATCTCATCGAAGATATAAATCCTCGTTCAAACTCGCTTTAAAGTTAATAAGTTCTACCTCACGCTAATTGCACATGCACTCTTCTTCACCACACATTGTTAGATACGGAAGCAGAACGGACGTGGCGGATCCCTTTCATAAAATCCTGTCGGCACCCTCTCCGAGGTTCATCAAAAGCCATCTTCCGGTTGCCCTGCTGCCAGATCAAATTTGGACCGTAAGGCCAAAAATGGTCTACGTAAGGAGAAATCCGAAATCCGTCGCTGTATCGTACTTTCATCATACGGTTTCAATGCAGGGCTACTCGGGAACGATGGACCAATTTGTGCATGCGTTCATGAAGGATCAGGTCCTAAACTCCCCGTACCATGAACACGTCATTGAGTTTCATCATTTGGATTATCCGGACAACCTACTGCTTCTTTGCTTTGAGGATATGAAGAAGGTTCTCAGTCAAATTATCATAGTTTATAATATTTAATGTAACAGATTAAATTCGACCATTTTGTAGGATCTAAAGAGCACCCTGAAACGGGTATGCGCTTTCTTCAACCAATCGTTCTCAGACGAGCAGCTGGACAAATTGGCACAGCATCTTTCGTTTGACTCAATGAAAGACAACAAGGAGGTCAATTATAGCGGATTCACCGAGCGGGTGCTGCAAGCGTCGAAACGTGATGCTAAGCTGACGGATCCAAATTACAAGTTTATGCGGCGAGGAGAAGCGGAGGGATGGAAGAAGGAGCTCGATCAGGAGTTGGTGCAAGAACTAGACGAGTGGACCAAACGGAAGTTGGTGGATCCAGAGAATCGGAAGCTTTTTCCTTGCAGCACCTACTAGCAGTAGGGCGACTGCATCAGTATCTTAGTTTTAGTTCACCCCAATTTTTAGGTTTGTTTGAAAATTGAATACAGCCGGTCAGTGTTGTGTGTTAATCAAATGAAGGTGGTGGTCTGTCTATATAGGTGTTCCGTAATTTTAAGGTGACTGTAATCCTTTTTGTGTAAAGCAACTGAATGATGCATAGTTTTAGATCTGATAAATTGTATTGGATGGTTGCGGCTAATAAAAGTAGCAAACCCATTAGACATCAAGCTTGGTTGTTCGGTTAAATAAATTATATAAATTTAATATGAATCGTGAACATGTTGACACAATATCCCATCATCTTCGCGGGATATAAAGTTGACTTCGGAAAAGTTTTTCAGATAAACGAACTTCAGATTTCGGCAACATACATATTCACTACTATGATATCTACATAATATATACGGGTCATTCCGTTCAATGCGACGTTAATCTATCTTGTGTAAAAAAGACTGAGGACCACTATTTTGCTGTCAAACCAAACATTTAGTTGAATCCTTAAAAAAAAAACACGTCTAAAGTTTTCAGTTGCTAAATAAATTTTTATTTTGGCAACACTGTTTTTTGTTATATTCCATGTTTATCTTCTTCAAAAAACATTTAAATAATAGAACGGTTAAAATGCAAGAAAAAATAAATAAAATAATATCTGAGGCTATTAAAACTTAAAAGAAGGTCAAAACAAAATCTCATAATTTTTTATTTTGTATAACTTTTTGACGTTGACTGTTCTTTATGTAAAAAATAGATGGGGAACACGATGGTACCATCAAATTAAAAATTAAAACACATTCATTTTGAGAAAAAAAAAACGTTAAAAGGTTTCAAACGAGAATTAAAAATATTTGGTAACCCTGTTTAAAATTACTAATTTCATTACTTTCTTATGAAAACAGTGCCCAATAATATCTGTAGCTTAATTGGTTCTGGAGAAATAAACAATAAGAAAGTAGTGCTTAGTTTAAAATCACAAAACATAGAAAATGCTCCCTTGGACCGAGAGTTTTTACTCCCTTGGATAACGATTTACATAGTTGGAGATGCTTAACTCCAAATAGCAGACTAAAAGTGGCCATTTTATACGATAGATAACGAGATGAAAGTATAGAGTTGATAGTTCCGTTAGAGTAGGGCAGTGTGAGAATTGTATACAGAGAGTAGAAAGCGAGCAAAGGTCAATTTTGAGGAAGGTTCATAACTTCACGCATGAAGTAACATAAAACTTGATCAGCTGTAATTACACAGAGAGCCAATACCTAGATGACGCTTGAGAGTAGCATTCATCCTCAATGCAGAAATGCTGGCGATCTCATTACCAGCTTAGCGAGAGGAATACTGTTGGCGCTATACTCGCTTTATTGGAAGTCTTTGGATGCTCTTTTACGAGCATCACAGGAAGGGTTGATGGGGCCAGGCAATATTGTGTTGATAAACGATTTGCCAAATCACGGAAAAAATTACGACGTGAGGTGACCCTTACTACTCTTCAATGTGAAGGAGCCTCGTATTTAACCAACGACCAAAAATGGTCGCCACTAGCCCACTTAGCCTCTTTCAGTACAGCAAATCGCTGCAACTCGAACTGCGAACAGTTAAAAAAAATATCCATGCGCCGTTCGAACATTTTACTATTTTCTATGTGGTTCATACGAATGATCCTGTGATCCTCAGTAAGCAAAACCGATTAAAAAAAACCCATTCCTATCAAGGTTTCGAAGCCCGTGCAAAATAAAACTCAATATTTTGACACTTGTTTGGATGTTTTTTTAGAGCCAGACTTTTTCCCAATAAAGCTCAAAAATTGTTTTATTATTCTTCGATCCTTGTTTATACCCTACCCGAGCTAATCTGCTTGGAAGTCGATTTGCAGAAACTTGACTCTGTCGCCATGGCGCCTAAGCGCAAAAGAAAAGGACGGTCGCTTGATCCCCCTCCTGATGAAATTCAATTGAGCAATCAATTTGATATGCTTACGGATAGTGAGAATAATCCATCATTCAGGCAAAATTCCATTGAATATTCCCGGCTTAGTATCAAAATGGAAAAGGTCCCCCTTATTGTGGTAACCACTTCCGATTTCCATGCTCTTCGCATTGAACTTTTGAACTTTATTAAATTCAAGTTTTCACTTCTAATTGGCCGTCGGGGTTAACGTCGTGTAATGGTTGTAACCTTGGACGGATTCAAACGTCTTCTCAAGTATCTTACTGAGAAGCAGCACTCATGTTTCACTTATGACACCAACACTGAACGTGTGTTCAAGGTTTCCTTGAAACGTAGGCCCAGTTGTGAATCCCTGGATCTGACCAAAGATAAATTGAAAAAAATACTTGGAGTTGAACCAATCCAAGTTATCAAAATGAAAGTGAAATCCCGTCCTGGTGATTCGCACAACGGGATTTCTAATAATTTTTATTTAGTTCACTTCAAGTCTAATGAACTAAACAAACTTAAGGCCTTAGAAAAAGTTAGCCATATGCTCCATGTCCGAGTGAAGTGGGAACACTTCAGGAAGACTGGAGGAAATTTCCAAAACCTCAACCAGGGATGGGGTCACGGAACAAAAATTACTACATGCCAGCTAAATGCATGAATTGTGGTGATTCCTCTCACGCAAAGGACGACTGTCCTGTGAAGGAAGATCATGAGGAATTTAAATGTTCAAATTGTGGTGAAAACCACAAATCCAGTAAGACTCGCAAAGTGATCCTACAATCTCGTTCTAAGAGACAGGTAGAAAACGCTCGCCGTTCCCGACCGTTTCTCTGCTGTTTGCAATGGTTAGCAAGTAAATGGAGCTATCAATGCTGCTATTGCAGATGGTAGAAATTTAAATCAAAATTCTAGTAATCATAATTCTAACGGGAATTTTGATGATTTTACTGCTCCTAAAATTGATTTTTTACAGAAATCATTAATCGACATGATTACTGATATGCTGAAAACCAACTCCATGTTTGATGCTATTCAAACTGGAGTAAAATTTGCAAACAATATCGTCATGACTTTGAAATTCAGTATTGGATTTTAAATCATTAAAATGTTTGAATTGGAATGCTACATCTCTTAAAGATAATTTTGAGAGTTCATAACATGAATATTGCCGTTATAACTGAAACGTTCCGTAAACCTGACCATAATGTTAAAAGGGACGCAAATTATTTCATTTGTCGAAATGATCGTCTTGATGGAGTCGGTAGTGGCGTTGCCATCATTGTTCATAGGCTTATCAAATATCAAATTCTTTCTTCGTTTGAAATCAAAGTTTTTGAAACTTTGGAAGTTTCTGTCGAAACAAATTTGGGCAACTTACTTTTATAGCTGCCTATTTGCCATCCCTATGCGTAGGCTAGCAAAAAAAAATCTCAAGGGTGACCTTCAGAAAGTTACCCGTCATAGGTCTAAATTCTTCATTATTGGTGATTTTAATGCAAAACACCGCTCATGGAATAATGCTCAAAGCTATGTCAATGGTAATATTCAATATCCAAACAGCCCAACATGCTCTTCTTCAGCAAGAAATCCCTCAACTATTGATTTGGTCTTAACTGATTCATGTCAACTTTGTAGCCAATTGGTTACCCATGCTGACTTCGGTTTTGATCACCTTTCAGTAACATTTGAAATATCCCAAGAATTAATTTCTAATCCCAACAGCTCTTCTTTCAATTACCATAGAGCTGATTAGGAGAAATATCGAACATTTTTGGCATACAACTTCGATCCAAATATTCAATTGCACACCAAAGATAAAATTAATTATGCTCTTGAATCTCTGACTACTTCTATAGTTGAAGCAAGAGCTGCCTCAGTACCAAAATGCGAGGTTAAATTCGATTCAATTATAATAGACGACGATCTTCAGCTCTTGATCCGCCTGAAAAATGTTCGTAGGCGGCAATATCAAAGAACACGCGATCCTGCCATGAAAATTATCTGGCGACATTTGCAAAAGAAAAATTAAAAGCGATTCTCTACCCTGAGGAACAAAATATTTAAAAATAAAGTTTTGAAATGAGACCCACAAATTTTTTGAGAAAACCTCAAAAGCCTATTCCAGCGCTTAAGGGGAAGCTCACCGGCCCAGAAATAAAAAAATATTTTCGGTACGTTTTTATTTTTCTAAAAATATTGGGAAAAATTATCAAAAATCCAAGAAAATCAGTTTCTTCCTTAGATTTTTGTCAAAAATTAAATGCAAAAAAAATTTTCTATCCCATCATGAAAAAAATTGGACCCTCAGAAAAACCGAAAAGTTGATGTTTTGTGGTTTTTTGAGTCCAACTTTATGCCATAATGACTTATAAAACATGTTTTTGCACGTGAATTTTCTTTAAAAAATTAGAAAAAATGTGATTTTTTTAGATTTTTGATACTTTTTTTCAATATTTTTAGAAAAATCAAAACGTAATTATTTTTTTCGAAGCGGTGAACTTCCCCTTAAAGAAGGTGATAAAATTTTGTTCACACATTCGGAAAAGCTCAGAACTCGCCAAGCAATTTGAGAATTTTTATTATTTCAGTTTGGTTCTCCTATTTAGAATCAGGTTGCTCGGGATTATCTGAATATTTTCTCTAGGGATTTTTTTTAATTATTCCTGGGGGACTGATTTGGACGAAGTTAGATCTATAACTAAACAGTTTCAAAATATGTAAGCTTCAGGTGATGATGGAATTTTCTATATCCTCATCAAAAAACTCCCAGAGAGTACCTGAAAACGGGTAAAACTATTTAACAGATGACATACTGTTCTGATAAATGAAAAATGCAAAAGTTGTTCCAATTTTGAGGCCAGATAAAAATCCAGCTGAAGCGTCTAGCTACCGTCCAATAAGTTTGCTTTCTTCAATAAGTAAACTATTTGAAAAGATAGTTTTCAAAAGCATGATGCCAATACGAACTCATTTTTTGCAGATGACCAGTTTGGGCATTCAACTACTCATCAACTTTTAAAAGTTACCAATTTAATTCGTTCAAACAAATCTGAAGGCTGCTCAACTTGAGTGGCTGACATAGAAAAAGCATTTGAAAGTGTCGACATGAAGGTTTGATTGCTAAATTGAAGAAATTTAATTTTCCCTTCTATATTATGAAATCAGTTCAAAATTATTCAACTGATAGAACTCTGCAGGTAAATTATCAAAATTCCAAATCTGATCGGCTATCTGTTAGAGCAGGAGTTCCTCAGGGTAGCATTCTTGGACCTATTTGTATAACATTTCACGTCGGGCCTCCCTGATTTGCCTTAGGGTTGCCACAAATCTTTGTTCGCTGATGACACAAGTATTTCCGCTAAAGGAAGAAGTCTTCGTGTTGTTTGCAGCAGACAGTAGCAAAATTTATATATTTTCTTTTCTTATCAACAAAAATGGAAGATTTCTCCCAATGCTTTCAAAATTAAACTTATAATATTTTCACATAAGGCTAGAGCTTCTCTTTTTAAACCTAGTAGTAGTCACATAGTCACTATGAAAGGAGTTCCAATTTCTTGGTAAAGTAAATTGAAATATCTTGGATTAGTACTTGACCACTTAACTTTAAAAGATCACATTGGGAGCATTTAAGCCAAATGTAATAAATAAATAAAATGTTTGTTTCTTATATTCCTCTTATAAACAGGAAATCTAAACTTTGGCTGAAAAATAAACTTCTAATATTTAAACAAGTTTTTAGACCGGACATGCTTTATACTTTGCCAATATGGTCTAGTTGTTGCACTACATACTATCGATGAATTGAAAATAAGCTCTAGATATTAACGATTATAACTAGTTACAATGACCGATTTGGAAATAACGTACAAGTTATATTATTCAATTCTAATTTTATCATGTTAAAACATTGCTTCCCTCTCGGTTCGAAACAAAAGACTAGTTCAGCAATTTCCTATTTTCAATTTCCAACCTTCCGACATTCCGTTAGAGGCGTGAAAGAAGTACTAACAGAACCAGAAACCGAAAGCAATTATTTGGAAAACTTTCTTCATTTGATATAGTTTTCCAGTCCCGGTTCCACCCACACTGTAGAACACATCCACCTTTATTCTTTGACTATATAAGTCGAAACTAAGGGCAAACAACGGAACAAAAGTTTTTCGCTTTGCAGTTGGCTATTGTGTTTGAGAGAATTGCCTCAATAATAAGAAGAAATAACTTTTAGTGGGATCTGAAAGTGCTTGTCATAATTAAGTTATCTCCAAAGGTGCACCAACCAACCTGTTTCGGCGACTTTAAGATTTAAGGGAGGTTCCTGAAAGAGAAGTTGGTTTAAAACTCGATGACAGCAGAACGAAGCTTAATTTTAAATGGCAGCTGAACACGTTATGGCAAAAGTTCTGACTTAACTAATTAATTTTGCACCACCTACCGGCTGTAGGCCGGCAAAGTGTGGAGGTGTGGTGCAATATTGATTCCATGTTCCGGGTTTGACTATGTACAGCAAAAGTGACTTACCTGGCAGAGTGCTTATAAGCTTTTTTTTTCGTTTTATTCAGTGGGTTCTATACACAGCAAAAGGAGGAGGTGTTGGTAATAAAAGGCATGAGATCAGATCGCCATCAGCCAGCCAGCCAGCCAGCCATATATGTATAGAGGAAAGTGGGAAAAAGTGAGCAAAAACTTCGGCAAACTCATTTACATTTAATTTACATTTTGCTCTTTCCGTATGTACATGTTCGTCGTTGCTTAGGGAAAATAGGGAAGAAATTTATTTACAGCAGAGTAGTGCGGTGGTGTTTGGGATGAAGGTTGGTAATTTTCTCAAAATCATTCCAGAGGTGTGTGTGTGTGTGCGCGTTTTGGGGGGTGGGGTGGGAAAATCGGGTGATTAGGATAATGGGTGCAGATAAGAAAGTAAAAAGCGGCAATTATTTTTATGTACACAATTTTTATACACACTTTAATCGTTTTCTAAAGAATCTTCGGTGGTAGAGTACGGTTACGGAAAAAATGGCAGCTCGATTTACTTTTGTCATAAATTGGATGCCTTTCTCGCGGTCGTGGTCTACCGCCTGCGTTGGCTTTAGATGTTGGATTTCCTTAACGGCAGTGTAATTATTTAATACAAACAATTATGGGTCGGTTGGTAATCAAACATTCGAACAAAAAGTTGGAAGGATAATTGAACATAAAAACGATAAAAAATCTGCTATATGAATAATGATTAAAACTTACATAAGAACCGAGGAGGTGGCGAATCATTTGCATCATTGTATATTTTTAGGTGAAAAGATGACAGAAAATGAGAAACAGTATATGGAAGCTAGGATAATGGCGTGTGGTGGTGAGTTCAGCTCGCACACAGTAGGCATTCGCTTCTGGATTTAAAATTCAAATTTCGGCACACGAAAACTTGTTGCCTAGCAAATGATGGTCGTGGCGCTTACTTGGATCGTTTTTGGAAATTAGTATTTACATTTACAACTGCTGTGTGTTCCTTTTCTTCTGTATGAGAGCCCAAATGGAGAATGATATAATTTACAGCGTGTTTGTGGCGGTGTTCTCATGTGTTCGCGATATGAATTATATTTATGGGAAAAGTTTTCACGGTTTGTGAAAGAGATGCGAAAGTGCAGAAAGTGAGACAAGATGAAATGATGCAAATGTTCGGAGTGTTGCTACGCTGCAAGCGGTATGAATTTGTTTGAGTATTATAAATATTTACACGCAGGTATAGTGAAAGTGTTCTTTTGGATAGATAAGCTCAAAAATAGAATAGATAGTTAACAGTAAATAAATATGGCGACACGCGGTTTTCTGTACACACAAATTTAGAAAATAGATACTTTCAACCCTGTCTGAAAGAAATGTCTGAATACAAAACAAACGTATAGAAGATAGAACTCAAAAGAGGAGTCTTCAACCTGGTTCAGCTGTGCGTGTGTATGTGTGTAATGGTACCTATGATATAGCATCCTGCGCGCTCTCCTTCCGAGCATCGATTTCCTAGCTAAGAATTAATTTACTTACAAAACAAAACACTATAAATTAAAACAAAAATCTCTGTCTATAAAAGTCCAAACAAAACACTGTTGGCATATTTGTATGGTAATTGTGGTTGTGGAGTATTCTCGGTATCTCTTTCTCTCGCTCGACTAACCCTAATATGAATCGTACTTTAGAAAAAAAAATATAATAAAATAGTTTCTCGTATCTCTATCTTTCTCTCTCTCTCTCGCATAAAATTGGTTGAGTTTTGAATTCGCGTTTTCGGTTTTTTTTCTCTATCAAATGAATACTTTTTTTTTCGCTACCATTAGGTTAGAGTAGAAAAGAGCATTTTCCTAGATGACTTTTTCGACTAGTGTACTTTTTCTTCTGTGCAGTAGCAGCGGTAGTCGAAAAGGTTCTGTATAATATTGCTTTTGCGCGATTTTAGCTAGATTTTGATTAGTCGATCGAAGTTTTACTGAATTGGCGGTAAGTGATCGCCACATGTTGGGAAGTTTGGCGGTACTGGAGGCAGATCCTGGAGCGTACCGACCTGGAGAATCAAATTCATGCCTATCACGATGTGGAACAGGAAGTGACAGTGGAACAACCAGAAACCTGTGGACGAGTCAAGAACAGTTCGATCGCGTGAAAATCGTTGCCACCGTTGGAGTCACGGCATACCGTCAACCACACTTACCAGGATTATCAGCGCGGAAACGCATTACCACGTAGCCATTGTTTGGCACGGCGATGGTATCCTTCAGCGGCGGCAGGTTGTACTGTCGGTGCAACAAACCACGGCGATCGAGGTCGAGCGCGTGCTTCAGATTGATCTTCTTCACGTTGGAATCGGGCGAACGTCCAATACCGATCACGTTGTACGCGTAACCGTGCAGATGGAACGGATGGCTCAAATTAGGTTGTTGGACTGAAAACAAACCAAATCTCGCGTTAGCATCCGGATCCAGTCATAGATGTCAAGCCTGAGCAACTTACCTTCATCGACCAGCACGACTTCGACGATCGCATTCAATGGGATGTCCACCTTGTGGGTACACATGCAGTTGGCACCGCAATCGGCCGGCCGGTTGTCACCGTTACAGAACTGTTCCGGGTTAATATCGTCGTACTGCGACAGCAGCGGAGCGGGAGCAGACAGGTACGAGATTTCGTCGATCAGCGAGATTACGTGGTCTCCGGTTGGGGCAACTGCAATCCAAGATCCCATACATTATATCATCAATTCTTCCGAGAGAGAAAAAAGCACCAATAACTCACCCAAGAATCGATTGTAGGTGTTCGGTTGGAACAGTTCCTCCGGTCGGTAGAGATAGAAACGGAATGGCAGGAAGATTTTGACGTCCGGTTTCTCCTGCAGCAGCGCACGGTCAACCTCCTTGGCGTTCTTCAGTTGGCTCACGCAGATGGCATCGTCGCGTTGGATGTTACACTGGGCGTCCAGTGGGTTGAGGACCTAGTTTTTCGTTGTTGTTGTTGTTGTTTTTTTTTTGCACGTGGTTTGATCAAAATTTTGGGAGGAAAGGTTTTTTTTTGCGGTGGTTGAAGGGAAGAACGATTTTAGCGATGTTCATTGTTTGAGTAATTTGATGAAAAGCCTTTGGAATGCGATGTTCTGAACGTCTGAGTCTGGTAGAGTGTTTGTCTTGGTTTGTCCAACAGTCATTGTTTAGTCAACGGTATGAGTTGTGATATGTTAGATTTTACCATTCGAAATTGAGTCTCTTAAAATTTTCAAACGATTTTGTCTAGGTTACAGTATTTGAACATTTAGAGGGTTGTAGTGGCTTAAAGCAGGGCGTCACAATATCAGCTTCAATCGACAAAATCGATGCGACGAAGAGACTGATAGCTTTCTTTTTCCGTTGAAGTCGGATAGCTTCGCAGCATTCTAGCGCTAGCAACTCAGTCGGCGTCTACAAATAAATTTTCAATCGTTTGTCTCTCTTTCTCCCGTCGCTTTATTGGTCTTTCTTTCAAGCTTCGGTGAAGCGGGCGAGTGAAAGAACGCTTTACTTTGATAGTTTCGTCTTTCATAAAACACATCAACCGCGGTTTCATGACGTCTATGACTATAAGATTACACGCAACATGTTTAATATATCTTCCATATACATACTTATATAAAAAAAGTAACGAAAACGGAACATAACGCATATTAAACAAATTGAAAGAGCGGTGAAAGGGATTGACGCCATAATGAGGTTTCGTTTGAACCAGGGTTACTTCCACTCACTTGCTATTAAAAAAAATGTTTTTCGGAATTATGAAATCATTAGATGTTATAATGGTTATTAGTACTTGAAGGTTAAAAGAAGGGGTCGTGAAGTATGTATTAGACACATAAAATCTGTCAATATTGCTTTCAGTGCGTCACAATCAGCAATTTTACGATTCGTGAGCGCTCACTCTGAGTAAACGCTCACCAATCATAAGATCGCTGATTGTGACGCTCTGAAAGTGAAATTGACAGGTTTTATGAGTCAAACACACACTTTTTACCTTCTTCTTGTTTTTCCATCCCTGGCTACTTTCAATAAAAGCGATGAGCAAAGCAACGACGAGGAAATCCATAGTCTTCCTTTCGTTCTAAGCGTGCTTCTGTTTTATTTTCTCTTCGTGCTGAAGTTAATTTTAGAGATTCAAAAATGTAGAGCCCTGGTTTGAAGGGAAATCAATATCAGAATAATTATCTCTCAAACTAACCCTCATTTTGTAGATGGTCGTCAATATAATATCCTTGATTTGGCAGTCATTTATCAGTAGTTAAGCAACTGCATCTGGTCTAATAAGGTTATTTGAATTTCTCGTGATTTAATTGTATTATTTGTGATTTAAAAATCCCAATTTTTAACAAATTTTTCCGTAGAAAACATCAAGTTGCTTCGAATTAGGACAAGGTTTTTTTTTTTTAATATATTGCTCATACACTTTTCATGAAAAAGTCACGATATCACCAAGAAAAGTTGACACTTATTCAACAGATTGTATTGAAGAGCAAGAACAGGCTTACTCGCTTGATTCTAATTCGAGTACCATGCACCTTGCACGCATTCTAACACTATCGCACATAGATAATGGTTTTTCACATTCTTTCAGTTTCTCACCTATTTCGTTAAACTGAGCTGTCCAAGGCAACCTGTAGAGTTGCTTGTTTGGAAGTAATTTACATTCGCGCACAAAGAGATTGGCGATCCTTTGTTTCAGTGGAGCAAGTGAAATAATATTAGTAGAAGTAGAATCGTCAAGGATTCTTTCCGGAAGAGTGCTTATTTTTTCCAGAAAAATTAATGAGCTTAAGAGTAAGTTGATTACGAAATACGGATGGCACATTGCACATCTGTTCATTTCATGCCAAATTATGGTAACCAATTTGGATCAAAATTGGGTAAGGTTTCCCTGCATTTTAAATTTCTGTACATGCTAATTATAGTTAAAACAAGGTAGTTAACTTATCAATTTTTGAGTATGCCCCACAGAACGATCGGAATTGGTTAGTGTACAAACAATATTTATTTCATTTTGTTATGATTATGGATTACACATCATGATAAACAATGATTTGAGTTGGTGGTTTTAAGTACATTATTTTCTAAAATTGATCATTGCTTGCGAGTTTTTAACATTCTTGAATATTAATGTAAAAACGTCGAATGTCCAGTTAAGAGTAAAAAGCTTAAAATGGTACGTAAAGATATTAATTTAATGTTAATATCATTATGTATTTTATTCTACAAAAAATAATTACTTGCTAAAAAATTGCTGGCGAGTTGCAAGTTGCTACCAAGATTTATTTTTAATTCAAAATTTAAAATTCAAACGTTCATAAAGACCTGACTTTAGAATTAATCTTCATAAAAGTGCGATCAAAACATAAAATTGGTGTAGAGTACAAAAACCTTTTTTATCTTATTTTCTAAAAGTGCCGTTCAAGTTCCGCCAGAAGCTGCTTAGAATGCTCTTCAATTATGGTACTGGAACTTTAAGGTTCTTAAAAATGAGGTTGCTATATTTCTATAACCCACCTTTAACCAATCTACTGATGCCTCAATTAGCCTTTTATAAGAACTTTTGGTTACTTGGGTACGTAGAATCAAGTCATGCAAAAAATCCCAGCTTCAAGATCATGGATCACATTATTTACTGAGCTGTATGTCTTTGACTGCAATCCATCATCGATTGTTTTGGAGACCATGAGGTGGCCATTTTGGTATCTAATGTCTGAAGAATTTTGTAAATTTTGGCCTTCAATCAGGAATTGATCAATATTTCTGGAACTTCCAAAACATGCCATTTGGTGCTTGTTATTGTCACTTTAGTTAATTGTTATGAAATTCTGTATTGAAAATCATGTTTCAAAAATGTTGATACGTCACACGACTGCATTCCATCGAAAGAAACGATTTTCCGCTCTCCTCAAGCTCTCAACTGACCGATGGTTTTTAATGAATGGTTGTTAAAATTCAGAAAATTTGATGTGAAGTTAGCTGTAATCAAAAACAGGCCACTCTCCCGGCGGACTTCGGAACCTATTTTGAGGGCACCGGGTGACCATTGTGTGATGGAACTAGTGTTTCCTACATGGGACATCCCGGGAAATAATTCCCGGGAAATTTACCAAACATCATGTTTCCCAATTCTCTGGGAAACAATTTTAGAAGAATTTTTCGATGAAAGTTTCAAGAAATTCCCTAGAAGAGTTAAAAGACACTTCTATGGGAAAAGTTTGAAAAAACTTCAAGAGGAGTCTGAAAAATGTTGCACAAGAAGTCGGAAGAATTTTCCGAACGAAGCCAGAAGAAATTTTCGCAAACAGATCGTGCACAAATGGTGCACTATTCCAAGCCTATCAGTAAGGACGTTGGTGAAAATGGAGGAAGTACGTATTGGAGCAGTTCAAACCGGCATCCGGAAGCTCGGTGAAGAAATTACCTACGAGGACACATCGAAATCTGGCCGTAAACCGGGACCGATGGACCGAAAAATGGACCAGAAGATCACCACCCAAGTAACATTGCAGGTTTTATCGAGGTTTTATAGCATTCTACAAGTCTAAATCATTGTCTACAGAACCCTCATAAAACCAAAATTGTCACTAGGGCAAGCTTTTGTCAATGAGCAAATCGGTTTACGGTCTACGAATTCGCAAATCGCAAATATTTTTTGATTTGGTTGAAAATGTGCAGAAACGTTCCTAATGACTGGCAATGCCATTTTGCATCTTCATATTGCCATTTTGAATCCAGCCTTATTTTTGAAAAGGGCAAATAGAAAAATATCAAGCTTATCTTCAGAAAAAAATTACTCGAAAATTATTTGTCCAATCGGTTTGGTGTGTTGTGCAATATTGCAGATAACGGATGAGACTATTTGAAAAAAAAAATATGCACTCTTTAAAAATTACCCAACGTTTTTTTTTAATTTCAAATAAAATCTTAAAAACAATTATTCTCTAAAAAGGATTTTTTTTTAATTTGTTGTTTTTTATATGTTTTAGGAGACTAAAAATGCCATCTATTGCACTATAGGTCAAGATGGAGAAATAATGGACAAAAAAGTTATGATTTTTGTCAAGTTTTTGGAAAAATAAAAAAAATCCTTTTTTAAGAAGAATTTTTTTTAAATTTCATTTGGAATTAAAAAAAAAGTTGGGTTATTTTTTTAAAAGGGCATTTTTTTCAAATAGTATCATCCATTATCTGTAATATTGCCCAAGACACCAAACCGATCGGGCGAACAGTTTCCAAGTAAAATTTTTCTGAAGATAAGCTTGATATTCTTCTATATGCCCTTTTCAAAAATAAGGCTGAATTCAAATTTGTTAGTCACAAGGAACGTTTCTGCAAAATTTAAACCTAATAAAAAATACATAAATAAACCGATTTGCTAATTCGTAGGGAATTGCTCCAATAAGAAAAGTGCCTTTGTTCGTGATTTGGCCAACAAACTGAGAACATTGAAGAGTAACGCCAAAACAAGAAACGGGCTGAAAATTTTCAACATACAGAAGAAGCCGAAACGGAGTCAGGAACAAGCCGCATCCGTCAAACCGAGGGCTCGGAAGTTATATCATAGCCTGCTGTGTGGGAAATTGGCGTGTGTTATCATGGACGTTACGTTCGGGAATGTTTGAATTGGAGTCTACGGCTCATGATCCGTCAACACGATAGCCCAGTACTATTTTGGTCCGATTTGGTGTCAATGCACTGCTCGATAGACACGGTAGCACTATGCTTGCTTTGTACTAACAAAGTGCAATACGTACCAAAAGAGATGAATCCTCCGAATTGTCCGGAGGTCCGGACAATCGAAACTTGTTGGGCTATTTCCAAGGTTGGTTGTCTTTATTAAGGAGATTTTCAGCCACACGCTGGTTCATCTCTGGGGGCCATTTCCAAGGGATATCTACGGAAATACTTTAAGGCAGCGATTCAACCGAAGAATTTGAAAAAGACTGGACAAAAGTAGCCAAAATTATCGCCAAGGAATCTGTGCTGAAGCTCATGGGCAGCTTCAGATCAAAATTTCGCTCCTTGGGAAACGATTAAAGGAACTGATGCATCAAATTGGAAGAGAATACTATAGAGAACATATATATGAAATAAAAATAAAAAAAATCGAGTTTTTTACCATAACGTTGTATTATTCCAAAAAATAAGTTGTGCTTATACTTTCTGGGACACCCTATAGAAGAACTAGACTATGTTGCAATAGTTTTACAAAAAATAAGTTGTAACTTTTGAAAATTATAGCACACAATGTAATAAAAGGCATGGAGCTCCAGAGTAACCATGGGCGGGAAAGATTTAAAGAAACTTGCTGAAGAAGTTGGATGAACCTCCAGTTGTTGCTAAAAGAAAGCCAGATGATCTTCTGGAAGAAACTCTCGGAATTCGGAAAAAATCTTCTGAGTTAAAAGAAACTCTCAAGGCTGGACATTTCATGCGATGGAAGCAACTTAATACTTGTCTGGTCTCTAATATAAAATATTTCACGATTCCTGGGAATTTCCGGCAAGAGCTATCCGTTGTTTCCCATTTCCCAGGAAGTCAAAAATGGCCGGAAAATGGAAACACTTAATATTTGATAAAGTCCCTTGACGGTTTTCTGATGTAATCAGAGATTGGTTACTTGCCTCGAAGCAATAATGTGACCATTGTCGCTTTGATCAGTTGGCATGCTTTTTAATGAAGTGTCCATAAAATTTTGAATTTTTTGGTATACGTACGACTACTGGTTTCTGTTGTAATCAGAGCTTTGTCACATTTCCAAGGGGCTTTTGGAACCTGATCTGCCGCTCATCGCAAGCCGGTCACATTGGCGTTTTTGTTAAAACTGAGTTTTTAAATAAAAGTGGCAGCTAATCTCCCATAGTTTCATAATAATTGATAAAATCAACAACTTTGTTCTGGAAAAGTTTGGAAAAACAGCCAAATGGGTTGTCCCATGGCATCAGAAGCAATGCTGCAGTGTTCTGGTCTGTTGGAAGAGTCGCTGATAAATTGTCCATAAAATAATGAAAATTTTGATAAGGTTTCGGTTGAAATCAGTGATTGACTACTTCCTTCGGGTCCACTTTGGTCAGTTGGCATGTTCTCTTATGAGTTGAATTAAGAAAAGTTTGATATACCGTATGACTGGCTTCTGTTGCAATCTGAGATTGACTGGTCAGTTGGCATAGTATCCACAAATTTTACTTAGAATTTTAAACGTTGATGCGTCACTTCTCTCGGAACCATAAGGTGATAATTGGCAGGCTTGCATTGTCTCTAATAAATTGTCCATTAAATTCCGCTAATTTAGATACGTCGTACGACTGGTTTCTGCTGCAATGAGAGTTGGCCAGTTCTATTGGAATTTTCGGAACCTATCCATGGTCATCGTGTGCCCATTGTCACTCTAGTCAGTTACTTAAGGTCTCCGATAAATTGCCCAAAAAAAATCTGATAATTTTGATGTGTCCCACGACTGAATTCTGTTACAATTTTCAATTTGGTCAGTTGACATGGTCTCTAGTGAATTCTGAAAACTTTGAAACGTATCTCGATGGCTTTTAGTTGGAATCAGACATTGGTTTCTTCCCTCCAGAACCATAAGATGGCCATTGTCATTTTGGTCAGGCGACATGGTCTCTAATAAAATGTTTGTAAAATTCAGAAAATGATGAGAAGTCGTTCGGCTGGATATCGTTGCAATGAGAGATTGGTCACTTCCCTTGGAGCTTTCGGAACCTGTTCCGTGGCAATCGGGGGACCTTTGTCACGCAACGCAGGTCAGTTGGCATGGTCTTTGTGGATTGTCCGTAAATTTCCGAAAATTTTAATGTTTTTAGTTGAAATCAGAGTTTGACCACTTGCTCCGGTTCTTTCAGAATCTGAATCGTCGCGTACATAACCTATTAAAGTTGTTCATGCAAAACTGAAAGTCTCGTACCAATAACTGATGATTGTGTTATCCTATCTTCATTAAGGACCAGAGTTAGTGGGATTTTTTTTTCAATAAAATAATATGTTTCATGAACTAGCACAGCCTTTCCTTTCTATCTAGTATCTAGTACCTCCTGAAAAAGGATCCTAATAAATGTTCCCTATTATCGATAAAAGGTGCCTTAATTGGCTTCTTTCCTCGTGCCTACTTTTTCCGCATCCTCCTGATTACCTTCCTCTATTCTTCTGTCAGCCCACTGTAAACTTAATTACATTTAGAGGTAGGTCCTATCCTATAACAACCTAACGAAAGGGGGCGCTCCAGTGTAGTGAAAATACAAATCGATTTCACTTTTCCACCCTTACCACCACAAACGATTATCATTCGATAAGTGCCGCAATTAATTCAGCAAATACACTTACCGTCACGTTGTCGTAGAATCGCTTCAGACCAAACTCGATTTGAAAAGAAAAAAAAAATGGAAAAGCGCGGTACCCTTTTCGTTCGGTTGTCGTTTTTTTGTTTATTTCGATTTGTTCTACAACCTAACCTAACCTGTTTCCTTGATGGGGTGAGGATCTGCTTTGCATTCCTATTCTACCTTCATCCGGTTCTGCATTCAGGGGGAGAGCCAAATTTATAGGAAGCTTTTATTTGCTTTCTGCCTTGTGGCCTGAACAGAACATCTAAATTCAAACGGATTCAAACAAATTGGTTTCCTGTTATTTTTTCGATTGTTCCTGTACAACTTTCCGAACTTGTTGAGAGGATCTTCTGTGGTTGATGACTGTATTTGTACAACGGCGAAATTTGTGGACTTTTCGATGTTTCGACAATGTGAGTTTTTTTTTGCTATTCTGTACAAATTTGTGTGCGATTGGCTTGCAAGAACTACTGGCTTAGGAAGAGATCGGAATGCACTTGGCGGAAATCGAGTGAAGAGGAATATGTACATAAATAAATCATCGTTGGAAGATTGCGGATCAGAGGAGAATATCATTTATATACATACATGTTTTTTTGCGGCAAATTGAGGAAAACAAGATAGATTTTCACGCTTAGAGGAAATTGGATTGTAAAAATATTCACACAATCACTCGTGGTGAAGATATACAATAGTATGGTTTTGTTGTTGCAAAGAAAGAAAGAGTCGTGAGGTGGAGTAACATTTTGTACAGGAAATTGTCACAGTATTTACAGATGAGCTGGCGTATGTGATTTGTATATGAAAAAGTATGGTATGCGGCCAGGCCATAATTACGTAAGCACTTTTTTGGGATTTTTAAAACCCCCCTCCCCCCATTAAATGCTTACGTAATAATTGAATGCCTCCCTATGGCAGTAGGTGGTGATGATGATGGATGATGGATTCGGAAAGTGCGCAATGCATAGAACTCAAACACGGTGCTACTTACCACTCCCTGTGGCAAACCGACATCGTAGGTTGGCGGAGGCGACGCTGGCTGGTATGGACCGCGGGCATATCGGAGGATGGCCAACTGCTGGGCACGCTTGATACCGCACTCGCCGAGACCTCGGAGCTGAATCCAGTAGGCACCCACTTGCTGGTCGGCGCTGATGACAAAGTCGTAACGTTCGCCTGGAATTGTGATGGGTGGGGAATGAAAGGGTTACATTTTGTATTTGTTGATTCAAATATTTAAGATCACTAAAGTACTTTCAGCTGCACCGAGTGATTTTGAAAATCAGGTAAAATACGGTGTCTCGTTCTTGGGAAATGACGCTCAGAGTTTTTTTAAACGGTTTTTGAGGTTCTCAAGCATATAGAAAATATTTACTGTTCAGTTATTGGAATCCCGTAGAAAATTTGATGGCTTAAATGAAAATGACTCCTTTTGCGACTGTAAAATTGATGCGGCGTGTACCAGAAGTGTGGGTGTCAGGTGTTCTAATCTTTAAATGTATGGACAAGGTTCTTACCAAACATCTTGGTTGAGTATAACGACCCCAGAAATTCCTACGAGTGTAAAGTAAGGTGGGGCAAAAGTTCGGCCTTAGTTGAAAAAAAAACTACAAGGGACAGCCCTATGGGGTTGTACACAAAAGTGACGTAGGACTACGTGGTCTTATATAATAAATGTTATTTGTTAACTGCAGCAGGAGCTTGTGTTTTGTGTATGAATAGGAATTTGAGCGAGGTTCTCCCTGTTTATAATCTTTGGTATGACTATGATTGCCCTGAAAAGAAATTTTTGGTATGAATTTTAGTTGGGACATGTTTAAAAAATTAACTTCTTTGGAAAATCTTGGTGGCCCTGAAACGGGCAGATGGTAGTACAGGCTTAAAGTCTTTGAAAGATGATGATGACGTGTAACGAGGAGAAATAAGTTTACGCGCTCGAAAATTCGATAAATATTTGATCGAATAGCTGGAAAAAATCTTTACGATTAATCGTTAATCGAATAATTGGACTTTTAGGCATCCCTAAAAAATAGTGTAATTTAATGTTTTTGGTGGTCCTTCGAAAATGTCGAACAGCAGAATTGCAACCAGCTAGTGTAATCCAAGGACCAAAAGCGGTGCGATGCTAGTTTTCATTGCTATGACGACGACTAAATTGAGGGGCTTAGAAGCAGAAGGGTGAAAGTTCATCGATTTCCTCTTTTGATGACCATGGCTTCACTGACCAACAAAGAACAAACGTATCAATGAATGTGTGTGCCGTCGAATTATTAACAAAACAGAAAGTTGATGAAGAGAATCGATCAAAATCACTTGCACCCCTGCTTCCAAGTTTGGTTACAAGATTACAACTCTGGAGAGCATTTTGTGTGGTCGTTGAGGGCGTGTGGCTCTGAATATGGCGATGAGTGTGCAAAATGTTACGCAATTGCTTCCTCCCTATTCACACACGCCCGAAGATCGGAGGCGAATACCACTTCGACTGGTTTCGTCTACTAACGACCCCCTGATGGCAGTATTGAGGAAGCAGCATATGCATGTACGTAATTGGTGGATTTGTTAGTTATTTCGCCGCATTTGGACAATGTTTGACATTTACCACTTTTTCAATAGTTTTTTGTTGAAAATCAATGCTATCAATGCGTAGAAGTATTTCTTATCGATTGGTGATAAAATTATTGAAATTGGTCCAGGGGCAGCTGAGTTGTTAACGTTCAAAATCTTTCATAATTTCGTTACATGTTCCAGTTCTGGTTTTTACAAAGTGTACCATCATATAGAAATCACAGACGTAGTCCTACGTCAAAAAAATCACAAAACTCCAAGCATTTGGAATCAAACTATTTCCATACATAGGATCTCTAACTCAAGGTTTACAGCTTTCTTTTGCAAAGCTTTGAATTTTTAGCTTATTCGTAGCTAGAACGATTTCTTCGGAAGAGTTTTTAAAATGAACTTTTGTCCAACTTGTGGATTCAGGAATGGAACAAAAATTCGCAAACTTAGTGGCAGTTTTTGAGAATTTTTGCCTCTACAAATATTAAATGCCCCATGATGACCAAAAGTTCTGATTAAAGCCTATTTGTGACTTAAGCAGCTTGGTTGAAGGTGGTCTATAAAATTCTAAGCAGCCTCATTTTTAAGTCGTTATAAGAACTTAAAAGTTCCGGTTTAATAATTGAAGAGCATTCTAAGCAGCTTCTGGCGGAACTTGAACGGAACTTTAAAAAAATTAGTTTAAAAAAGGTTTTGGTTTCTACACCAATTTTAAGTTTAGTTCACACTTTTATGAAAGTTAGTCAGGTATTAATGAACATTATTTCTAAAGGCAGGTATGAACGTGTATTGATTTATCAGCATTAGTAGTAGTATTGGAGCTGTTTGAAGAATTAAACCCAGTCCTTCTGCGTGAGAACCTCAGCACGAACTGCTACGTAATCTGAAATATATTAAAGTGAGCTGTTGTCCCGCTTACTTTAGGAATTTTTAGTGCCAGCTGACTGACTTGAATACGAAACACAACACATTGATGAATTTTAATTTGGTGTTTGCCCGCATGGTATTCCAACACACTTGTGACATAATGATTTAGCGTTCGTAACGGATTCGCATCCAGGAAATTGCTTTTTAATTTTCTAATGTTTGGATGGAATATTGATGCACTGCATAAATGTAAGAATTATGATTTAATTGAGCCATTGATCATTTCATACTAACGTACATTAATTTTTGTTCCTAAAAAAGACTTGTGTGGATTGCTTCATGTGGACTGTGACGGACATTTTAAGAAACTTTCAAGTTGCTAAGCAGTTCCGCTGCGAACTTGTTCGGAACTTTGTTGTGGCCATGTTTTCAGCCTTGCCTGAAGTTTTTTTTTAAACTTCAATTTGCTAGGAGTATCGATTGGAACTTTTTGGAGCCTGAAGTTCCTTGTGTGCTTTCTATAGCTTCTAAAGTAGCCAGAAAATTGTGTTGGAACTTTATATGCACTTTATGGAACTTGAAAGTGGGGTTTATCTTTGAATGCGGAACTTTTGATTGCTTGGGTAGAAAGTACTATCGGAACTTTATTTTAACTTTACGGGACTTGGAAGTTCTGTCGGGACTTTTTTTTGGACTTTACGGAACTTGAAAGTTCTGTCGGAACTTTATTTGAACTTTACGGAACTTAAAAGTTCTGTCGGAACTTTAATTAAACTTTATGGAACTTGAAAGTTCTGTTGGAACTTTAATTGAACTCACTAAAGTTCCATAACTTGAAAGTTCTGTTAGAACTTTAATTGAACTTTATGGAAGTTGAAAGTTCTTTCAGTCATTTATTCGAATTTTATGGAACTTGGAAGTGAGGTTTATTGTTGAATACAGAACTTTTGATTGCTTGGGAATGAAACCACATGTTTATGTGAAATTGTGGAACAACGAAATCCACTCGAAAATACTGTTTTTACACAAAAAATGTAATAGGGTCGCAATTTTAACGAGACTTTTGTCATGATTGTTTAGAGTAAATAAATGCGTTTTAGACATTTGTGAATGTAAGACGACTTGTTACTGTTACGTGACTGTTTAAGGCGTGTTTATCGGAAATCAATATCAAATCCTTCTCAAGAGCAGCTTTTGTCGTCGTCTGTGAAGTTGCCACAGGGACCGAAATCTAGAAGCAGCAAGTTGAACGGGAACTTGATCGTAATTGTTTTGTGATATAAGAAACTCGGTGGCCTAGTGGCGACCGATTTTGCTAATTGCGCAGAAAATTATGGGTTCAATCTCAAACTTTTTCACATTATAGAGTTTAGTGTGAATCGGATTAGTTCTCAAATTAAGATAAAGCGTATTAAAATTCGGTTGGAGGAACGAGAACTTAAATGAAATAATATTCGAGTTTTAGGAAAGACGAGTTGATTGGAAATTTATAATAAATTCTTCTCAAGAGTAGTTGTTCTCGTAGTAACGTTAAACAGGAACTTGGTCGTAATTGTTTTGTGAAATAAGGAGCTCGGTGGCCTTGTGGCAACCGATTTTGCTTACTGGGCTGAACATCATGGATTAAATCCCAAGATCCTTCACATTATAGAGTTATACTTTAAATCGACTTTCTTTCATAATATGATGTAGAGCATAACGAAATTCGGTTGGGAGGACGGGTATGTAAGAGAAGCAATATTTAAGATTAAGGAAAGACGTGTTGATCAGCAATCCATATCACATCCTTCTCAAGAGCAGTTGTTGTCGGTGAGATCGCCACCGGGATCGTAACCTAGTAACAACAAGTTTTTATTTTTATCCTTTGGTTTGTTTTCCGTGCTGAGCACCAATGCTACCGACGCCAGGAAGGCGGCTCCCACACCTGGACCCAACCTATCGACCCATCATCTTATGAACCGGGGATCAACGGCTTTACTTCCCTTCCGAAGGAAGGCGTGATCAGAGATATTATGCCTCAGAACATCCCGGCGGCGCCGACTGGGATTGAACCCAGGCCTGCTGGGGTAAGAGCTAATCACGCTTACCACTATACCACCGGTGCCGTTTAACAACAAGTTGATCGTAATTATTTTGTAATACAAGGGTCCCGGTGGCCTAGTGGAGACCAATTTTGCTTACTGAGCAAAAGCCCATGGGTTCAAACCCAAGCTCTTTCGCGATATTGATTCGTTAGGACATCAATTCAGCATATCGTTTATCAAAACAAATCCTGCTGCAATCCCAACCCTTTTATCCAACAACTGGTTTCTCGTGGGAGTGCAAAGGTGTTCTTGGCTTTCATTAAAGCAAGTATTACGCCAACATATTCCTACCCATTCCTTCCTTGACCAGCATTCGGACGAAGCCCGCGATGGTATTCCCTTGTTGTACATCACCAGTATTTACACATTGAGGATGATTGCTGGTCCCAAGCATCATCTATTCGTTCTCTTTGTAATTACAGCTGATCTGGCAATAGCTGAATTGCATCCACGAGCGGTCAATCATGCTCATGCTCATGCGTTTTAGGCATTTGTGAATGATTAGATGGATTTGGGACACAATTTGAACTTTTGTCCCACTATAGGCAATTCCAGCTCCCTGATGATATATCAAAAGTTTAATACACCTAACTTCATCCTCCAGAAAACTGCAATCATGCCGAAAAAAATAGGCCGAAAATTAGATCGAAACCCTATCAACATAGTTGG